ACAACATCATTTACGTAAATACCGTGTTCATGCAAACTAAAACTTTTCATTGTTAGTTCTTTGAGAATCAAATCTGGTACATTGTAACCTGTGAATGTCAAATTAGGTTTGACAGTGTATTCATGATTATTAAAATTATCCTCTCAATTTCCCGATGAGATGCATGATCTTTGATATATATTTTTGTTATATTTCAAGCTTCCGATAATGATTTTCCTTTGATAGTTTGGTGATAGAATTACGAAATAAATTTTACAAAAAAAAGAAGATTGGTGGATGAAATGTCGATCATTTCTTACTGACCAAAATACTGATTCATAGTGTAGTTCCGAATCTGCATTTTGAAATGGAAAATTTTCGATTGAATAACTCTTAAAGTTATATATTTTCAGTTATCCAACTTTTTGTCTAGCATACCGGATGACGATTACTCCAGCAACACGTGTTGTATGCACATTCATCATATCATACGGGTTCTTACTTAAATCTCGCGAGAAGATATGTGAGATGCTTGTGAAAATTCTGTACATTTTCCTTCTCTTGCACTGATCGTAGTGTCTTGTATGTGTTCATAAATATGACAAATCAAGAACGTTTTAGACAAAAAAGATTTATAATCTCTTCAATTTCGAAAGGATAGAAATAAAGTTTATATTCATCAAATCAAAAATCGATGTTACTTTTTTGTTGCATTCCTCTAATATGTTATACCTTCATTATAGTAACAATGATCCAACAAATATTGTCAACTGATTTCGTTTTATATCAGTTCATTCAGACTCGATTTCTACCATTATTGTTTGAATACTGATTTGTTGAATTGTAATAATTTTTAAATGTTTTAATCCTATGGAGGAGCAGTGTTCTTGTTTTAATTCAAGGGGATTTTTTTTACCTTGTGGTGCGTTGTTGTGCAGCACTTTTGCTTGTTGTTAGTCTTTTGCGGTTTTTTTTAAATATTTTGTGGCGCGTTATTATATTTTTTGATAAGTTATCTCATCTCATCATTTTTATGCATGTTTATTTTATGAATGCTTATTTTTATTTCAACTTCTCTGTAACCCTTGATCTTGCATAGTTTTATGAGAATAATCTATCTATCTATTAGTTTTATTTTGTTTTTGGTTTGTTCAGGTTTTTTTCTTTGTTTTGTTATTCCATCCATATGTTTGACTGTCTATAATAATTGCATCGTCTGTATACAGAATAGATAATTTATTGTGTTGGTTTTGAAACAATATTGTACATTGCACTGCTTTGTGTTCATGATGTTTGTTGATTTCATACAGATTCAAAATATACATTGTGCGCATATATTTTCCACCAGATTTACTCTCTCTTATAGTAAAGTCCATTTTTTTTTACATGAATCTACATTGTTTTTATTGAAACATTATAAAAATATAGAAATAAGGAGATGTGATATACCGGGTAATTGCGAATGAGACAACTATCCATAAAGGATCACAAAGACCAAAAGATAAAGATGTGAGCAAATACAGGTCACCGTTTGGCCTTAATTAATGAGCTAAACTCATATTATATAGAAACCCTTGGGATGACAAAGTGAAAAACACTTCAAATGAGGATAGCAACGAACTGATTTATATATCAACAATTGACGAAAAAACAATTAGGACGGAAATCAGCCAACGACAACCATTGGATTACAGGCTCCTGTATTGGCTCACTTTTTGTTTGTTGCCTTGATTTGTCTCTTCCTCATAGATTTACGAGATTTGAATATCGGTAAACTTCTGTCACCTTAATTTGGGACAGACACATAAAGAATTTAGCGGGGTTGGTTAAATATGTCCGCGACTCTCAAGCCTCTCCTGCCCTGGACATTGATGCAACAAAACAACATAAAACAAACTGTAAAAATCAGATGAAAAGGACATGATTCATCAGATTGGTACTTACTACAAATAGTAACAAGGCAAAAGACACAAAGTACCGATTTAAAAGTTCTTTGAATCCTAATGTTATCGTAATCTGTTCTCGAATTATGCTTTTTGATTTTAGATACATAACAGAAAAGGCATTATAATAGTATTATGTTACCAAATCATTTTTCAAGTAACCAAATTTGAACAATCATAAGGGAGGTAACAAACTACACTTTGTTTGCTAAGTATACACATTGAAATGCAGCACATTTGTACTGATGCAGCATTTCAAGGTATTTTAATTAATAGTAATGAATTTGTGAGATAGAGAGGCCTATTTGTAATTTTAATCTGATACGTAAAACACTAAATCTGGTCCTCCTCTTAATCATCAATTTTAACGTCATTGTAATTATTTATTGATAAATTATTTGTTGAAGCTTTTTCATGGTCATTTTCTATCATGAACTATCTATCAATTTACATGTATTGTTTACATTATAATTATATGTTGATACAACAATATTAGTAACATTAAATATTTTTTTTTACTATAAATTCCATAATACATTTGGAAATCATTTTATATTTATATATTTTCATTTAATACCATAAAATATGAACTATGCAAATTCTCATATCAAGCGGCCTTCGATATTTCTTGAAAATGTTAAAGAACGAATTTAAAACTTCACATCTCAAAAATTACAAAGTAGATTTGAATAAAACCTGCAATAAACTCTATCAAGACATCATTCAGATTTGCATTATTTATTGGATTATAACTGTACTATCTAAAATGAGATAGAAATATCAAAACTTACAGTCACAGCTCCGACCCTCTTTCTGTGACTTTGTTAAATTGTCAATATTTTAATGTCATTTTTTTTACTTTCATCGTTCATAACATTTTATTCTAAAATGTCGTTTTTTGAAACTTTCATTCCATATTTGGCAATATAGTGAAATTGGAAAATAAAACTAAGAAATGAGTCAGTACTGGGAAAATTTTTATGAAAAATACTGAGAAATTAAGATGTCAGATACATTTAAATAGATTCTGTTGCTGTTTAATGGAGTTATCAAATCTCTGATATCGTATGTGGTGGTAGAAATTATATTATCCTTTAGATTTCAACAGAAACCAAATTTACATTTTATCACATCTATTTTAACTTATTTAAAGTTATTATCGTAAAACGACAACAGTTCATAAAGACAGGCGATAAACTGCAAAATATTATATAAATAACACATAGCTGAGAGGGTGATAGAGCAGATTGGTACCCTAGAAAACATTGTCAACCGCGGCGAAGCCAAGGTTGACAATGCTTTTTCGAGGGGTACCAATCTGCTCTATCACCCTCTCAGCTATGTGTTATTTAATTTATTATACTGAATGCCCTATCATTATTGTCTTTTACAAATGAATGTTATTCAAAATAGTTTTCTGTGACGTCACATACATAACAACGTTACGGGGATTAGAAGTGAAGCAAGATGTTTTATTTTTTTATTTTGACAGTCAAATAATAGAATCTGAGCCAAAACGTAGAACTTAAGCATTGTCTTTAATAACTTGATGTAATTTAAATTCATTGTCCTTTAAATTATCGATTTTTGATTGGTCTGGACGAGAGGGTGACATTCAAAAAAATTGTCACCTGCTCAGCCATGTGATAGAGTAAATTAACACCCTCGTATTAGCCAATCAAAATATGGCATTTTTACGTGAAGTATAATAATATGTAAATGTTTCCTTACTCCTCGTGAAGGAACACCTTGAACATTAAGGATGCGTGCCAGTTAGTTCCGCTATAATTTTGTCTTAAAATAATCTGTACAAATGTATGATATTGAACTAATGTGTTATATCTTTATTCCCTATTTTGTAATGTTACTGATCATAACTGCTGCTACTTGAAATCCGTTCAGAATCGCTTGAGGTGCATTCATAACAGGAATGTCTTATCCTGTCGACACGCATGGTCTCACTAAAATTGAATGTCATGCGGATCACACGTTTTCCCCAAGATGACTTAGTGCACAATACTACAAATTTACAAGACATACTGATGTGAGGTCAAAAGTATTTTTTATTGTTGCATATTGATGTGAATTTATATAAGGCAACTATAACTCTTAAATGACAGGTTCTAATATGTCATTTTAATTGCAAATTTGGTATTACTCCGTCTAACATTTTAACCCCTTGAATATAGTTTTCAACAAAGGGAATAATAACAAGATTAAGGGGAAAAATCACAAGTCGGAGAAAGGTGGACAGGGCATAACAAATGTAAAATATATCAACATAAAATATAATGTTATACTTTTCTGCATACTACATTAAAAACAAATATTTTTACGTTAGAATGAATTATTTAAAGTTACAATTTTTCCCCGAATAAAGTTTCTGACTTAGCCACATAACCAGATGTAACCTTATATGAAGTTTATACATTAATACAGAACATCTTCATATTACAAAGATCTATTAAATATAATAATTGTTAAATGCGGTGTTCAAGTATACGTTCTGTATGTGTGTTCCAGAAATGCATGTCTATTTTGTCTGCTGTACATAAAAGAACAAAACTATTTTATTCATTGTTTTGCCCATTTTATCCAGTGTATTTCAATGATTTTTATTATATTAATTGTGTATTAATTGTATCAACCATGTTGACTTTTATTTTTAACTAGAAGTATTGTTTATGCAATTTACTTATCATTTATGATCTCAAAGCAGCTAAAACATTTGAAAGTTACAGGGACAAAATTATGTGATTTCAACAGAAAATATAACGCGAATTGTTCAACAACTATGTAAAAAATCAGGAATATATTTTGAATCATATCAACTAATTTGGCATGAAAATGTCCTACATATTAACTTTATCTATGTTTAAAAACGACAATGATATTTTTTGTAAGTAGTGTGCGTGACCTATAATTAGAAAGGTTGCTCTTCTTCATTAAAGAGTGAAGAAAAATCATACATAATTTAGATTTGATATTTACAGTGTGTTGATTTCGTAAAAGTTCACACGAGAAAACCCAGACTCCTTATATTTGTTCACCATCTGATAACAAAACGAACACATAAAATACAATAGCATTATTTTATTCAATTAAATGTAGAAATATTAAAATAATATATCTTAGAATTTTACATGACTAAATTACATCATGCTCGTGCAACGGCACGTGCGTATTTAATCATACGAGCAATCGAAAGTACGAATCGGCACTCTGTTGATGTTATTTATTCAAATGTTCAATATATTAACGAAATCAATGACGGACGGGGTATGATTAGCTTTTTCATTATGACAGTCTTATTTTGCTATCTGATATCAAGACGAAAATGTATAGTGCAGGTGACAGTTCTTCGGAATTGCAATGAGATCCTTTTTCTCATCAACAATCGTTATCATTATCCAATGTTAATTTCATCATTTAATTTACAGAGTATTAAATGATGCGGTTTCAATAAAGCACACAAGAGATCAAGATTCAGCTCAATCGCAGCTGGTCTCCAAGGAGTATTTTCCAGTCATTTCTGGGTCTTTTATGCGTTTAATAGACTCACTTATCCTTTTATCTCATTAAGATATTATAAAAACCGATGGTTTTTGTCAAAGTGTTATCGTAACGGCTTAGTTAGAGCGTAATAATGGCAATTCTAGACACTTGAGCAACAATCCATTACCATACATCCTCTCAAATACATCGTTGATCGTATTGATAACATAAGTTTTCTTAACAGACCAGGAATCCAATTTTCTAACTGTCAAGTTTCTTGAACAAAATAAAGTCGATCAAGAAGGAAGAAATTACTGTCGGAATCAACTTTTCTGTCGTTTCCTTCCGCCAAGCCGTTGCTGAAAACTGTTGTGAAAAATGAATCCTATCTAAAACTCCTGGTGAGTTATTCAACCGTGCCTTACATTTCATTTCTACATTAGTAAAGACATTTCCTTGGATTAATTTATCTACTGCTGCGATTCATTCTTGCTTAGAATCAATAGTCCTATAGACCTTGTAAGAAACGGAGATACTGTAGCAACAATCGGTGATTAATTCCATACCATCCTATTGTTAGCGACATTTACAGAATATGTTATTGTTTCATTGATAGAATATGCAAGCCATTCTCAAAAAGATCTGTATCGAATTCTTAAGTCTTTTAAGATGTCACCTTTTGAATCGATAGAATGGCACTTATTCTTTCATCATGTTGGCTGATTATCAGATACGACTTATGAAGCCTGATACAAAAAATGGCGTCAGCTTCTTTTTTATTTCCAGACGACCCCAAGTGATCTAGCAGACGACCCTGATCATAAAAACGTGACAAACATAGACTATCACAGACAAAACAGATATATCACCATAGTTGGTAAATATAATCTGAGAAATTACAACCGAAGTCACGTCCATTCCGTGTTTATCTCTACGAATAGTATGAACTCAGGTGTGACGGCATATGACTTGGGTGACTATGAGACATGTGGTGATTTGGAATGCTGGGGTACATGCTGCTACTAGAATAAATGCTGTTACTATTTGGCCAGTAGTTTGATGGTGAGCCGAAAAAGTTTGGTGATTGTGGAATATGTGAATGAGAGTTCATGAAATTAAATCTTGACCCTGTATGGTAACTGGACATTAAAAAGTCTTGTTGGTGATATTTATAAGCTGTAGGATCTGCAGACTGTGGTTGCATTGCTTGTGCCAATCCAGCAAAGTCAAATTTATATGCATATCGCTTGCCATGAACTTTTGTCATAATGTTTTTATCGTAATAATATCTTAATGCACGGCTAAGTTTATCATAGTTCATGTTTGGTTTACTTTTCCTCTCGCCCCAACGACGAGCAACTTCATCCGGATCAACTAATTTGAATTCCCCGTTGGTGCCTTCCCATGTTATATAGTTTGCAAGGCTACTGTCAGAAAGCAGTTCTAATAGAAATTGCCACAACTGGATCTGTCCACTCCCTGAAATATGTTTAAACAGTAAAATAGTAATGATAGAAAAAAATAAAACCGAACATATATAATACATATACTGAATGGCAGTCTCGTTTATATTTAAGGTAATAGGCATGAACGACAGTCTAACTTATATTTAAGGCAATAGGTAGGTATAAAGTGTGCAAAAGGATTGATATTTCGTGATGTACGAATATATGATATATATATATATTATTTAGATTTTTCTTTCAAGCATTTGAAATTTCCTCGTTGTATCGTGCTTCTTTTTGTAATTTTTTTTTACCTTTACTTTTTAAAAATGTTATTTTACAATGACAAAAACTTCAAACTTGTCCAGAAATTCCATACTGGAGTAACAACGACGATATTGTTCAAAAGCCCCAGTTCTCTTTCTTGTTGTTAAGTTGCTTTCATGTCATTGCCTTTTTGTCCATACTTTTCGTAACATTTTGTTTGTTATGTTCTTATACTTTTTTTTATAAGTATTCACAATCAAAATAGTACGGTATGTCGACGCACCTGATCTTGCTCCTTTTGGAGTTCATGTGATTCCTTCCGTTTTTGTTTTTGACCTTGATTTCTGTGTCTTCTTAATAGATTTAGGAGATTCGAACATCAGTAAATTACTGTTTGTTATGCTTGGTGTGCTTTTTAGGATACACAAGCAATAGTCTAAGTCAAAAGTCTTAAAAGCGAGGACGAATTCAGAATATCTCAGTCTTCGACAAAGTTTAATAAGTGAGAATTCTGGTTAAGATACCAATTGCATTTGTCCATTTTACATTCATGTGGGTGAACAATGCAGTATGTCCCCTTTATAAAACCTGGCCTCCATTTGTAATTAACAGAGTTCAAAATTAATAGGCTGAAAATTGTTTAAAAGTTTGTTGGACATTTTAACATTATACATCGTTTACTGCACATGTACAAAAGTAGGTATCCCTGTCGACGCACCAGATCTCGCTCCTTTGGCTTTTGGAGATTCCCCGTTGTTGTTTTTTTTTTACCTTGATTAGTGTTCTTAATAGATTTAGGAGATTCAAAAATAAGTAAACTACTGTTTTCTCAAATAAACAATTGTTAATAGAATGATTGTTGTGTCCTCAGATTTAGCGTACATTAAATTTATATCAATATTCATATTTTATAGAAACTACGCAAGATACATCAAAACAGATTTTTTTTTTAAAAGAAGCGATACATTTTCAAAGTAGAAAAACTTTTAGACAAGCATAAGATAAAAACCATTCTCTCTGGTTTGAGCCCAGTTTTCTCAATCTATTAGACATGATCATTAAATAAGAATCACGAACTCGCACACTAAATATTTACTTGTTGGAACTTTGTTCAAAAGAATTGCAACAACTAATCATAAAATGATAGTTCGATATTCTTGATATACATGTATTTCTCTTTCGCCGTTTTTTATGGTATCAATAGTTGCATATAATAAGTACTGCCATTAAAGCATGAAATGAAACAAAATAAATATTGTACTCCGACGTGGATTATTTTTTAATTAATAAACTTATTTTTTTCTATTTAGATGTAAATATTGTTTATATTATCTACGTCAGCATGTGGCCAAACGTGTTCAGATTTAAGTGCTTTCATTTATGTTTAACCATATTCTTATTTATATTTGGAAAATCAGACGATTGCTTTATCCGCACGATATTACAATATGTTACAAGATATGTTCATTAAAAGCTAAACCCGGCATTAATCCTACATATTGATTTAGAAATAATGTAGCTAGTATTAGAACAGTTAAACATTCGTTGATGTGTTAAAAGCATTTGTACATTTACAGGTAAAATTCTTTTCTTGTTAGTGAATACGGAATTGTGACACGCAAAACCAGATGTTCATTTTAACGATATTGACATAAAAATCCGATTTCTGATCTTAACATTCTCCTACTTTGGTGCGGAAACTGTGATTCAGGAATCCAAAATTGCACGCTCAATAGCTTTTGAATAATTTTCTTTAATAATTACGGTACAATTTCATTATGCCGAAAGAAAACTGAATAAGGATTAAATATAGGAAATTATCATCGGATAATGAAATTGGGTATTTAAAAACGTGTTTTATTTTTCATTTAACAGAAGCCTAGTTCCGTTTCCATGGTTTCTCCGGATATTTGTAAAATAATTGTTTTAATTCAGCTTTAGGTGAAAATTTTCTTGCTAAATGTGTGATCAAACGCCAAATCAAAACAAATATTAGTTTGAACAGTAAAAGCTTGTTTTATTTAAAGTATATTATACAAATATGAGTTGTGCGAATTTTCCTTAATTTGTAGCAATTTTTGGAATGAACAGAATGTCTAAGAATTATTTGATTGTTAAAAATGATTCTATAAAACATTTCCTTAACACCCTAATCACACGAAGAAAATTTTGACTTATGAGTAAAATCTTATTAAAAGATACCAGGCTATATAATTTTAAGATATGCAAGCGGGAGATCCGTCTTCACCAGACTAAATACAGTGGCGCTCAAACCAAACATTTTTCTACACTAAGTAGGTCTTTTTGAATATAGATCTAATGACAGTGCTTAAAAATATTATAGTAAAAACAGTTTGCAATTTCAAAATATAAAGGTATGGTTAAATAAAATATATCAAAAATGAACGAATCAAATATGACTGAAAATAACATTTTACCAATTTCATTACAACATCATTTTTTTATGAACAAAAAGAAAACTTTTGTAGATATTTTATATGTTCCAGAACATATTTTTTATCCCACTGAATTGCGGAAGAGCAAATATTTTAAATGTCAAATTATCATATTGCGAACTGAGAGCCTAGGTGGAAAAAAAAAACAAACATCACAATTTTTTGATACGCAAAAAATTGCAAAATGTAATTATAAGATATTCATAAGGAGGCACAAAGGCCAAAAGAAAATGGAAAAAAAATTTCTACAAACTATTATACAAAAACTAAAATTGAAACAGCAACCCCACAAAACCTGTGATGTACTGCATTCCCCCATGATTTAAGTAGTTTATGATGTAACTTATATAGAAGTATACAGTTTTTGATTAAAAAAAAACATTTCGTTCATCTTTTATTGTTGCCTTGTTAAAATTTGGACGCTTATGTTATAAATGATAATGCTTCATAGAAATGGGCTTCATAAATACATATGTAATTTTATTTTATTGTATTGTTACTGATTATTGTTTACAATGTTGGAAATTAAAAATTAAAAGGATTAAAAGGCATGCTATCTCACCTTATACAATCATTTAAAACACTTTTGATGATAATTCACAAAATTATTCCATACAGGGACAACGACACCGGTTATTTAAACTTTCTATCTATTGCCAAGTTTAATCCACCATTTTCTACATTAGAAAATGCATGTACCAAGTCAGGAATATGACAGTTGTTATCCATTCGTATGATGTGTTTGAGCTTTTGGTTTTGTCATTTGATTAAGGACTTTCCGTTTTGAATTTTCCTCGGATTTCGGTATTTTTGTGATTTTACTTTTTGCATTACCTGTGTTAAATTTCTTAATGATATATCAGAACGCCGAAATGTGGAATCAAGCAAACTGAAAAAGTATCGAAAAAATCAGGCGACATTGCCTGTACCTTATCAATTCTTTAGACAACTTACTTCACTAGTCAGGAACAACGTGGTCAGTTGTCTTTTTTGATATCTGAATGTGTTTTTGACATTTGCATTTTTGTGAATTGTGTAGGATATTCGATAGTCATTGTCAAGTTTATTTACTACCTATATATCTACTCTGGGCGATCTAGAGCTTAACATATTATATATAGACAAGGTCGTCTTGATGCCTGTTTTGTTTTTCATGTTATTGGTTACTTAGTAGCTGTTTCATAATCGTGCACAAATCTTTTTTTAGAGGTTTTTTTGTATTTGTATTAAGGTTAATATGCTCTCCTATAACTGCACTTATTTCGTAAACAACTTAATTTTTTGGGGCTGAAGTCTTGTTTTCAAATTACAATGTCATATCTTTAATTCTACAAAGTCTTCTTTTAAAATACACAACTGGTAACGTTAAACACAGAGAGACAACCTGAGCACAGACCAAATACTCCATCGAGAGTCTAGGGCCTTTGAATAGATTAATGCAAAAATAAATCGTTTTGTTAATATGTTTGTTAATTGTATATGTTACGGTTATTTCTTTGCTTTTCGCATTATGCGCTCAAAATTACCGGCCGATTATGGTTCGAATTATGAATAACCTCATTAAGTCTTTTAAATGAGTAAACAATTCAAGATGAGATTTGTGTCACTAAAAGAAAACATGCTTAATGTATATGCTTAAGTTTTACTATTTTTATTTTTTTTAAAGACAGTTATAATTTTTATAGTTCTATATTTTTAGGAGATACTAGCAGATATATAATCGTTTAAGTGTATACCTCAGTGGTTAAGGGGCGTCCACCTAGCTGTGTGGGATGTATGAATACATGCACGCACTCAGTGTAGCCGCGGATGTACAAATACACGCTCGTGCCCGATTCTCCTTATATATACATGTATATTTGGGACATACAAATTTTGCTTTTGAAAGTGAACTAAGACAGGATTATGAAAGTCAATTGCCAATTGTATCCTTCACGATTGGTTAAAAAGAGTTTTCCAAAAGTAGGCAGGGGCCTGTTTATCGAAGCTGTCCTAGGATCTGTCCTAAGACCTCAGTCTCAGGGGCCTGTTTATCGAAGCTGTCATAGGATCTGTCCTAAGACCTATCTTAGGAATGTTAGGGCCGACTTACGACATGTCTCAGCATACACATCGAAGCTATCTTAGAACCAACTTAGTTGGTATGTCCTAACTGCTATCCTTAGTAATAGCGTAAAGGTAAAAAAGTTATTAGAAATTAAAAATATATAAAAATACATCGAATTTCACTAGTATGTATAATTATAAGATTATATAAAGATTAGAACTTGTTATAAGTATTATCATAAAGATAATAATAATATTTATCCAATGATTGTACATTCAACCTGTTATTGTAATATCCTATGGATAAGAGCAAGAACGCATTAAATATTATAAATATTAAAGAATTTATTTTTTATTAATAAGTACTAAAATACAACCACAAAAATATTTAGAAAAAAGGGGATGCATTCCCTTAGCCAGTGTTACGAACGTGATAATGCATACTTGCGTATAATATCAATGTCACCCAAATAGTCCAGTGGATTATTATAGTCCCTAAGCAGTCTATTTCTATAAAAACTATTTGTCCTACTCCTTTAATAAACATGTCCCAAGTCATGAGCCTGTAGTTCAGTGGTTGTCGTTGGTTCATGTCTGTAATATTTGTTTTATTCATAAATTGTTTTGTTATGAATAAGGTCGTTAATTTTCTCAATTGAATTGTTTCATATTTTTCATGTTGTGGCCTTTTATAGCCGTCTACACTGTATTGGTATTTCTCATGGTTGAAAGCCGTACGGTTGCCTATAATTGCTTGCATCCACTTCATTTGAACTTTGGTGGATAGTTGGCAATCATACCAAATTTTCTTAATTTTATATATGAAGGTGGCGGTCGTTTTTGTTAACAAATTAACCATTATAGAATATATCCTAAAGTTAGGACAATTTTAAGAGCATCTTTAGACACCAAAATTAGTGTTCTAAACTTAGGACGATTTCTATGACTTTTCCTAAGTTACGACATTTTGATAAACCCACTTAGGACAAATATATGCCCTAAGATGATCTTAGGACATGTCCTAATCCTAAGAGCGCTTCCTTCGATAAACAGGTCCCTTATATATATATATGCATTATGTTTTTCAACATAAATATAGTTTAGTACAGTTCTCATTTACTATTCTTAAAAAAAATGCAATTTACATATAACTTGTTCTCAACTTGTAATATAAGGACAAGGACGAAATATGTAATAAACATTTCCATGGTTCAATACCCAAATCATGCAAATTTAAAGAGAACGAAATCACTATCAATAGATTTTGCGATATCATGTAACTTACACTATATCGTATCTTTGAACCATTCGAAATTTCAAAGATTCATTGGCATTTTTTTTTATCTTGATGAGATTTAAAAGACAGCTCGAAAAAATATCCTTGACAATCATGAAATATTTGCCACTAGACATATTTAAAAATATAATAATCATTAGTTTTGTGCCTTGTCTCATTTTTTTTTAACTTGTCCTAAATATGCATGAAATATTTGTCGCAGCGTGTAAAACAACCACAAAAAGATATTAGGTTTTCATATAATAACATTTACTGCTTATTTAGATAATAGTTCTTATGCTTCAATAGTTTGTCTTATAAATTGTATCAACACAAAGAACTCATTATTAATTACCAGAATTATTTACCATTAATAAACAAGAGTTTGTTTTTCTCTAATTTTAAATGTTGAAAATATAAGTTTGTTTCTCGAAAATACTTATTTTCAAATGCGTATTTCTAAAAGTAATAAAACTAGTATGTATGTTACATGGAGTTCCTTCTATATTGGTATATCTTATAAATTTACAAAAATAATATGCCATGTAACATGAATTCTTTAATCTAAAAATTATTTTAAAATGAGTCATCGTTAATGCAAAAAAAAACAAAAAAAAAGAACTATAAGCGTTGTTTAACAGCTTAATTCAAGTTTATATATCTAAAGAAAACAGCAATAAATATTCCTGGATTATTTGATGCAACTGTATGGCGGGTTTAAATTAGAGGGGTTTATACGTTAACAAATAATAAACTTTTCAAATATAAAAACAATGAAAAAGTAGCAAACACTCAGCAAATTTTTAGTACGTTTTTGCATCAATATTTTGTCTTCTCAATTAACAATGTTTCTCTATGGTCGTACATAAGAAATACATGCACATTTGTGGCAATGCTATACAATTATCGAGCGTATGAGAATTACAAAAATGATATTACATCAATTGTAATAGAAAAAGAACAAATAAATTGACGACTAATATCTATATACCCGTATGAACATACAAACAATTTATTTCTATATTTCTGCGGAACAAAGTAATTAAAATGTCTTATGCAAAATATTTTTTTTAAAGTTCCGTTGGATGATAAAGTCTAATATTTATTATTGTCATTTTTGTTGACTTCGCCCGTTTTGAATTTACTTTGGAGTTCGGTATTTTTGTTTATACTTTTTTAATCAATTAATAAGTGAATTAAAATGAAGATAGAAAAAAAATCTTTGCTCTCAAAGCATTAATGAAATATACTTCTTCAGTAAACATATAAATAAACAAATAGTCCTACCTTGTGGTCTCCAGTGAGTATGAGGCGCTTCTAATGTTGGTTTTGATAGGTGTGGAAACGGACTTGTATGTCCGTAATCTGTAAAACAAAAAAAAAGTTTGTTTTTTTAACGCATTTTGACTAGATTTTATAACGATACAATTGTATAGAATTAAGCAATGTTAGATTTAAGAAACTAAAAATCTGTGAACGTTATTGAAAAGTTATAAATCAAACTGAAGCAACAAAAATAATTCTATCAAGGATTCATGATTTCAACGATAACTTTAACTATATAATACAAAGAATAAATGAAGACAAACTTACTTGGACTTTGTGGATTTGACGTTGGTGGCCATGAAGCTTTCCCGTACGGAGGATCTGTAATGTACCCAAATAAAGTTCGTTACTTATAAATTTTAAAAATACTTGATGATTTGCAATGATTCGAAATGGAAAACTGAAAATAGTGTAAAAAGCTGTCCTGTATTTCTATTATTAAAACTATTTACTTTTGTATTTCCGAAAAAAAAGAAAGATAAAATCGTGATATTCATTTTGCAGAATGTTTTTCATCCCTTTTTTATCCACTCTGATTTTGTCATGAGTTGAAAGTTAAATATAAATAGGTAGAAAAAATCAATTTACTGTTGTGTTTATTTTCCTCACAAAAGGGCGGAAATTAAAGAAATAAACATTCAAATGCCGTTTCCAAATAACATTTAATGAAAACCAAATAAAATTCTGATCAAAGTATCCAAAAAGGAAACCGATTTCTACGGTTTCTGAACACCGGAAAAAGTAATTTCCCGAAACATACATACCGGGAATCATCATTCCAGTCAAGCCCGGAAAGCTACAAGTCCTATAGTAATCAGGTTTAATTCCCTGCATCGGAACTCTCTTGTAAAAAGAGTACAATAAATAGATTAGATCGGTTTTGTATTTACTTCAAAAGTTCAAATCGACACATCCAATTACTTCGTTTCTGTTCGCGTTTCCGAAATGCGTCGACAACTATTTCCCAAACGGAACTAAGTCGGAACTTGTACCACTGCCGGTTACAGCAATGCTTGTTTAAACTTTATAAAGGAAACTCTCATACATGGTTTTTAAATAAGTTCCTGAAAGACCAGAAATAATGTGTACAAAAGCTTTATTGATTTATAGAATTCGATTTTTATACGAAAGTCATGTTTAATCATACAGTAATCAACGTATCCAATCAGAAATTCATTATGTAGGCGTGGTTTACATGATAGGCGTTACCTTGGTATCAATTGCATCTTGTCACGCGCTATCATCAGCTTCAGATACATTCTGCAGAGATTGACATGACAGTATATTTTCCCTTTATTTATCATTTTTCATTTTAAAAAATTATAATACTTAGAATGATAGTTTAGGGATAGAGGAAGAGCTAAAAAAAAATGCAAAAATCATATCGGAAAAATGAAAGATGAACGAGGAATGGATATTTAATCATATTGTAGCAGTGATGTATTTAATGTACTTATATTATGGTTACAGTAAATTAGAATATGATTTATGTTACATAAAATCTAACATAGCAAAGGCCCATATAATGGAATGGGTAGAACAGTCAATATTTGAGAAATATAACGATGTTAAATTTTACCTTAACTGTATCGCAGAGGAATTATCGATCAAAAGATACGACCAAAGCTTGTATTTACCTTGTTAATATCAAATATTTAACAATTTTCTTATTTGTTTAACATGAAACTGATTTTTTCAATTTATTTGTCTCTTTTTATTTTATTTTGTTTTTTCACATATTAGCGGAAGAAATTACGTTTTATATGAATAAGAAGAGACGTGTTTGAGAGCAGGGTGGGAAAATGAAAATAACAATTCTTAAAAAACGATAACGCTTTTCTAGGTTAACCTTCATAAGGAAGGAAGTCATCCCACGAAACTCGCACTCTAAGACTGAAAAATATAGGAGCATACGACTAGCCAAGTAAGAATTGTCTTTCCTCCCTTATTCAGTAGGAAAATATCGGCTGAGAAAGCAATTAATGCATTAAAAAAAATTCTCCGCAATTATTTTCATAAAAAAGTAATTCAAAACATAAAATTTGCAATATTAATCAGAGTGAAGCTAACCAAAATATGTCACGATCAATGCATTTAAATATTTCTAAATACTTTGATTAAAAAATAAATGTAAATTTCGATAACTGAAGAGTATTTGTTTAATATTTATCTAAAAAGGATCAATGTGACATGTTTTACTTTAAAATTTAGGAAAAATATCATTGCTCTGAGATGTATATCTATTAAGTAAGATTTTCTGTTTTAGATAGTCACTTTATCAAAAGTTTATAAAAGAAAGTAATGTAAATATTTCATGGAGAAGGTTGGCTCAAGCCATTCTTATTTTTTGCCCTATTGAATTCGAAACCAATCTTTCTAATAAAATCCAATTTCAGCGTAAAATATTTTCAAAATAGCCATTTTTTGTCAACTATGCACATTATCATGACAAAGTTAAAGTTATGACGTCACAGTGACTTTACAAATAACTACCAAACGATAAACCCTGTTTATTTATCAATAGAATCGGCGTCATTATGACAAGATTAAGAATTTTATCACCTTTTGTTTGGAATTTCATGTACTGAATAATTGCTCTTACCCCCTCTGACACGAAAATACGCAACTGAATCTAGTAAATTATATTTTTTTTTTGCATTTGTAAGTAGTTTTTACCAAAATATTGTGTACATTTTTGTAGTTTTATAGCTTCCAAATCTATACTATACTAATCATTCTTCAAAGACAGAGGTAACATTCCTTTTTATTATAACAGGTACATGTATGAAATATAAAATAGATTATTGTTTACATGTACGTAATTTAAAGGGTTTTATTTGTATACAGCAAATGCTTCCTGTAACTCATACAGCAAACGTAGTTTGTGACAAACAAAATACAAATTACATGGACTACACATACAACAACTTTTACAATAATCAGTTCACCAAGAGTCCCAAATACACCTGAAAATAATCTTCGGATGACGATGGCAATGAAATTTACGATAATCAGGGAACATATCCTTTTCGTTGCAAATAGATTTAAACATTTGATAATTTTCAACACGTTCAAATATACCTATGCGAAACTATAAAATGGTATCTTATGATATGCCAAAAATCGAATAACAAAAATACCGAACTCCAAGGGAAATTCAAAACGAAAAGTCCTTTATAAAATGGCAAAATCAAAAGCTAAAACACACCTAACGAATGAAAAACAACTGCCATATTCCTGACTTGGTACAGGCATTTCCTTATGTAGACACATATAGTAAACACGAAAAACATTGTAACAACGGGATGAAATTGATTTTACTGCCAGGAAAACTTGTTTTATCTTAAAACATGTAAACAAAAAAAGAAAAATATACAATTAAAGAGCATAGATGGACATATATGTTTCTTTTTTCAGCTTATGTTGATTCATATTGGTTAAGACCTTTACCTAAGTACTATACTTCATGTGGGGCTTTCTAAATGACATCTTTATTGGTCATGCACCAGTGGACCGATACATATTCAATATGCCAAAGTGTGTGTGTCTTTTTTATCAATTCCAGTCCATTTAAATCACTTAATTTCAATAACCTTATAATCTGCAACATTGAAATACACTGAACTATGAGAAAAATATAAAGAAATGTTGAAAATGCTAAAGAGAAAGTTAATTTACGGTTCCCTTATAAAAAAAAAAGATTTGAATTTTATTTACTAGGATCTTTTCTTGCTCTGACTTAAAACAGAATAACGTTTTCAATTTTTGTCATTGAAATTTTCTCCAAAAAACCTTCACCAATGTATTATAATATAAAAACAAGAAGATGTGGTATGATTGGCAATGAGACAACTCTGCACCAGAGACCAAATAACATATAGGTTACCGTACAGCCTTCAACAATGAACAAAGACCATACCGCATAGTCAGCTATAAAAGGCCCCGAAATGACAAATGTAAAACAATCCGAACGAGAAAACTAACGACCTGATTTATTCATATTCTAAATATGATGATGTTTGATTGGTGTTTAACGTCCAGCAGACAATATTACATGTATATCTGGACGAGAACATGTTAATGTGATATGCATATTACCTCTGCTTTGAACTACACCGACACGCTGGGCCTTGTTTTTAACTTGCTAGGCTTACAGGGTAAATGTACGCAGGAAGACATGTCACATTATCCCGACTCCTTGTCAACCTGCGTATGCTCTTACTCCTAAATGACGTGTATAATAGAGCAATAACAACATGGTATTATTGTAATTAGGAGAGTATTTGTTACAAAAGCTGACCATTTTAAACTTATAAATTTAAAATCTTTGAAGTGCATTAAATCTTGATCTTTTTGTATTCAATATGACTAAAAAATTTGACCTTAGTATACTCTGTATGCTGAAAGTTCATCAAATACCGAAATATTTTGCATTAGGGCGAACAAAAACATCTATTATTATGCTCAATTTAACTTTTTTAAATATTTTTGACACTGACATTATGAAAGTGCTAAATATTGAGAAAATGTCTGTGTGTTAGGTGATTGTGGTTAAACAAATGTAAGATACATATTTGAACGCGAACGGTGCATGTTTCCTGGTTTTACCGTCCTACGGGTATGTTTCGAACCTATAGTTATTGGCCAAGATCTTCTTTGTTATCTTAGATTTAGACAAATTACCTAATTTATAAACTGAAAATGTACTTTGAAATATTTCCTTTGTGTAGGCATCAAATTTAGGCTGATGCTTGCAATTGGCGCCCCCAGGGGACTAACAGCCATCGTACAAAACCGAACTAGTATGCAATTTTGAATTTATTTAGATTCTTCATATTGAAAAATATTTCAACGTGAGCTCTGATGAGCTTTTCATCGAATATAAAATATATACAGTAAAAAATAAAACAGAGCATACAGCATGAAAATAAATCAAATATAAATCCCATTGTTATTAATAGAAAACTGTAAATATGAAGGGGACATAAGTCGAATGCAGACCGACGAATCAATGACAAAAAGAATAAAAGACTAGATGACAACCGTCCACAGAACACTACACAAGAAACCCAAGATTGAGCAACATGAACCCAGTCATAAACATGTAACATTTGTTTAACTTTATACACATTATTGTAATAAAATGATTTAGTCAAAATTTAATATTTTTGCATTACCGAAATAGTATTTGTATTATTTGCCAGGAAAGAATTTCATATGTTTAGACAACTTTTGTTGAAATACATTAGTCGCATATTGTTAAACTTACTAGAAACTCTGCACTTCCACCCTTCCCCACCTAAATAAAAATAATGGAAGCTGCACTAATCCTATATGTCATTCTTCCTATATATATAGAGAGAGATTGTGTCCTGCAAGCAAATTATTCAATGTGTGATTGCTATCTTTACGACAATTCAATATTTCGATCCATAACAGTTTGCCAGTAGTTTTTTATCTTAATAAATATTCGAGAGATAGGTATATTTACTTCGTATATTTTCCCTACCTTAGGTTGCTACAAACAGTGAAGATACTCAAAGATTTGGCTCTAAAACACTGATGATGTTCTTTTCATAAATATGATAATCACCAACACAAATAGGGTTGATCGCTGTAACATAGTACGCGTACCTTTTTTTGGTGTGATTTTAGTTTATCCCACCTTTGTTGTTCGTTACTTATTCACAGATCACTGCCATGCATACCGTGACTGATACCACTTGACAGGAAATATCTAGTTCTTTTTGCCTTCGGTATTCTGGGCTCCCTTGTTCGTTTATTTTTTTGTTATTTCTTCACTATATATTATATTTTGTTTTCTTAAATATCAATTATTTTGTTGATTCTTACTGTTAGGCCTAAACAGTATTTGCTTTCTAAAATAATTACATTATGATTTAAATGCATTTTTAAAATGACACCTGCACTGCTGTTTTACGACAATGTATTCCCCTTTTGGTTGACTAACTAGGGTTGCAGTGCATTCAGGCAAAGTTTACCTTGGACAGTTTAGATGGTTCTGTATATGCCTTTTGTATTAGTGTTCCCAAACGATTTTGGGTTGCTT